TTTTCTATCGATTGGTATAGTCCAATTTTGATCGATTTTTTACACTCCGTAAAAAAGTATGGAAATCAGAAGAAAAAAAAAAAAAAAAAAAAAAAAAAAAACGTAAAGCAGCTTCGCGCGGCACGTCTGACTCGAGAAAATACGTAATGAAATGGGAAGCGCGCGGAGAAGAACAAAAATCTACAACATGGCGTGGAGGCATCTTAGCGTAGAATTAGAGCGTAAGAATGGGAACGCTCCTGCACGCGCGCGAGCGCACTATCGATCATCAAGCTTGGCTGTGTTTTCTCGGGCACGTACTGGATTCGCGAAAAGTGTTTAAGAAAGCATTCTTTCAGCGTGACGTTAAACCAAGGATCGACCTTACGTTGTATTTGGTCTGAGCGGCAGGTTAAACTCGGTTTAAAATTCGGCGGGGCGAATGGTAGCCGCTAGATGGGAATCTGTTTGTCGAGAGGATGAACTGCTGCTGCTGTTGCTACTGGAAACACTGTAACTCCCGGCATGACGTCGTGACGTGATCCGTCTGTATGATGAGTTGCGAGAACTGTTGGCGATGATAAACGTGTAACGCGAGCTTGTCGTAACTTTTTGACTTATGACAAAGCGTGAGACGGGAGGGTGAAGGGGGACGGGGATACTCTCTGTTGTCATTTCAGCGAATTTCGATCCACTGGAATTAATCATCACCGACGGTAAATAAACCTGGCCAAATTTATCGTTCGTCTCGATATTGCGAGATATTAACGCGTACGACGCGTCATACACTTTGATGAATGTTTACGTGTACGTTATACGCATCAGCAAAACCAATCATTGAGTATGACAAGACTAATTAAGGGCAGATATATTGAATCGCTTATTGAATAAAAATCATTTTTACTTGGTTGTAATGTGCAAAATTAATTAATAAAATCATTGGCAGATAATAAAAATAAAACAGTTTTTACAAATAGTAGGACAACACACTTTCGCGAGACAATGGGGATAATGAAACAGTTGTACGTGCATGAATTATCTTCAAGACATTTATTACAAATAATTGAGTTAAATAAACGATTTTTAAGCGAACAAGATTCTACTGCTACAAGTTCCCGAAGGAGATTTTAGAGTCTCGGAAAACTCTAGGGCGCGAAATCGTTTAAAATAATAGAATATATTTTTTTTAAATTATACTCTTCGTTAATTATGTAATTTAAGTTATAAACGTTACAGATTGTGATACATCTGAAATCGCGCTATACACTCGACGAGTGATTCGGAGCTTTCGGTATTCTTCTGGCGCGCCGATGGAGAGAATCGCATCGATATTAAATCTCGATTACAAACAATGGAAACGAGATTTCCTCGACTCTTTGGAATTCTGCGCTTCGCCATAGCCATTTGTCTATAGCTTTGTCGACGCTACTTGCTAAAACGGAACATCTCGTGCATCGAATAATGCCGTCCGCCGCCGTGTTCCTTTGTAAGCGGCAAAATGCACGCTTATATATTCGGTCGGAGGAATCAACTGAATACCAACTAAGAGAGTAGCCAATCGTCCGCTCGGTCATTCCCGCATGCCGGAGGTTCTAACGTTTCATCCGGAAACCGACTACAGTCTTCCTCGATTCGCCTCGGTTAAGTGACCGGCATAATAAAATAGAAAGCTTATCTTTGACGCAATCTAAGTGTGCGTGCAAATGCCACGTTCAGCTTTAACCGGTAGTTCATTATGTAGACGGTCTGGTTATCTATAATTTTCATCTATGACGAACCTTTCCTTCCAAATCTTTCCAACGGAAATATATGTGAAAAATATAAAATAAATTAATCGCATAATCCGATACTCTGATTGATAAGAATTTTCCTAACTTTGTCATGAAAATATTGTGTCCTAAAGATAATTATTAGTTTAATCAATTAAATTTGTGTAACTTTAATAAAAAATATTTTCAAAGAACATTATAGGGAGTTATATTGTGTAATTTACAATACACATCGATTTACTTTCCAGCTCGATTTAAGTAAATATATCAAAAGAAGATGTTACATATCTGTATCTTAATTAATTTGCAATATTCTCCTCAAGTCATTACTTGAAATTATACAGTAGAGGAAATTTGAATAGTGAAGCCGTTAAGATTATCATGATAATCTAGCGAGAGTCTTTCAAGCATCCCTCGACCAACACTTAGATGTCATTAACACCTCCGTCGCTTACTACGAAGCGCGCTAATATCCTTCATTCCGTTGAAACGCTCCGTCGACGGGAAATTGTCAACTTTCGCGCAGTCACTAACGCTAAAGCGGCGAAAAAATTTTCCGGCTTTATTGCGATAATTATTCGATCAATCTCGCGTCGCGTGCCGCAGGGGTTGATACGCACAAATAGCGTTTCGAGCGCATCGCGAGAAATGAGATCTCTCCCCTCGTCGGAATTAAGACGAGGAGATTTTACTCTCTCTCCCCCTTCCCCCCACCCCCCCACCCCGCGAGTATCTTCATCTCCGGAACAATGGGGTTGCGTGACAAGGAACGATGTTTGATTCGGCACAGTTTCGCGCTCGCGCTCGTCAAACTTGGCTCGTCTCGTCGCATTCCGGAATCGTGGCGCGGCCTTTGTTACGCGAATCTCCCGAAAATACGCGACTCGCTGCGTACTCGACGACGATTCTTTTATTCCCCTTCTCCTCCCCTTTTCGCCGTCTACATCTCTGTCAAGCCGTGTCTCACGTAATGACGATTCGGCACGTATCGCTTTTAAGGGGCCACGACAGACAATAGTGTGTCGCTCGATCGTATTTGCGGATGACCAACGGGGGTGGTCCAAGTAAGTGGTGGTGATTAACGAGCCGCAGTGCCACCGATATACAAACACATCGAGCCATTGACGGCACGGTTGGCTACGAAAGCGGCTATCGTCAAAGAGAAGAGGCGCCTTTGATCCGTCAGTGTTAAAATATTCCTAAGCGCGTCCCGGTTCGACTGTGGTCCGCTACGACACTGTTTGACGCAAAATATCGTTTATACGCGATAATTCAACGATGATAGACGAAGGAGAGTTACTCGATGAAATTCGTTATGTATGCTTCATTGTGTTTCAACTTTGAAAGTTTATGCTTTGTCGCGTTTGGATGAAATATGTCAACACAACTGTCAATAAAGTGTAGGATGCCCGTGTGTCCGAGAAAGAGTACTTCGTTTGATATAAATATATATATATAGAATGTTTCACGATACTTCTCGTTAAAATATCAAGAGCCTTTCGTTTGCTGTTTCCTTTACAATCAAAATAAATCAAATTAACTTTAATGACAGATGAACGGTCGGACGGGGGAAAAGAGAGAATCAGGTCGAGCCGCGATTCCGTTCGACCTCACGCAAATATGATAAAACACAACAATAAATTCAACAGCCACTTACTGTCTTTCACGCAGAATGCGCCGATAATCCAGAGCGGAAAGAGCGGCACGACGAGCACGTTCAAGTGTCTCGCGTTCGCGTTGTACCGTAGACTCCTCCCGTCGTGCGGCCTAAAGTAAATCATGATCGTTCCACGTGACGCGGCACGATCATAGCAACACCGATATCACCAAGGTACGCCGTCGGTGTACATCCACCCTCACTGTTCGAAAACGCACACTGATCCAAAGGATCCAACGGATCTTCACTCTTCGGAGAGGAGATCTAGTCAAGTCCGAAATCCGGACGACGCGGTTGTCGATTATCGCGTACACGATATCCGCGCATCATCCTCGTCCGCGACGGATTTTCGAAGATGACGAGAGAGGCCAACCAACCGGGGTTGGGTTGTTCGGACGGATCGCGCGCGAGTACTGATCGGTTCGACGAATCCGCGACGCGCGAGACCACCCCCCCACCCCGCGAGTATCTTCATCTCCGGAACAATGGGGTTGCGTGACAAGGAACGATGTTTGATTCGGCACAGTTTCGCGCTCGCGCTCGTCAAACTTGGCTCGTCTCGTCGCATTCCGGAATCGTGGCGCGGCCTTTGTTACGCGAATCTCCCGAAAATACGCGACTCGCTGCGTACTCGACGACGATTCTTTTATTCCCCTTCTCCTCCCCTTTTCGCCGTCTACATCTCTGTCAAGCCGTGTCTCACGTAATGACGATTCGGCACGTATCCGCTTTTAAGGGGCCACGACAGACAATAGTGTGTCGCTCGATCGTATTTGCGGATGACCAACGGGGGTGGTCCAAGTAAGTGGTGGTGATTAACGAGCCGCAGTGCCACCGATATACAAACACATCGAGCCATTGACGGCACGGTTGGCTACGAAAGCGGCTATCGTCAAAGAGAAGAGGCGCCTTTGATCCGTCAGTGTTAAAATATTCCTAAGCGCGTCCCGGTTCGACTGTGGTCCGCTACGACACTGTTTGACGCAAAATATCGTTTATACGCGATAATTCAACGATGATAGACGAAGGAGAGTTACTCGATGAAATTCGTTATGTATGCTTCATTGTGTTTCAACTTTGAAAGTTTATGCTTTGTCGCGTTTGGATGAAATATGTCAACACAACTGTCAATAAAGTGTAGGATGCCCGTGTGTCCGAGAAAGAGTACTTCGTTTGATATCAATATATATATAAAGAATGTTTCACGATACTTCTCGTTAAAATATCAAGAGCCTTTCGTTTGCTGTTTCCTTTACAATCAAAATAAATCAAATTAACTTTAATGACAGATGAACGGTCGGACGGGGGAAAAGAGAGAATCAGGTCGAGCCGCGATTCCGTTCGACCTCACGCAAATATGATAAAACACAACAATAAATTCAACAGCCACTTACTGTCTTTCACGCAGAATGCGCCGATAATCCAGAGCGGAAAGAGCGGCACGACGAGCACGTTCAAGTGTCTCGCGTTCGCGTTGTACCGTAGACTCCTCCCGTCGTGCGGCCTAAAGTAAATCATGATCGTTCCACGTGACGCGGCACGATCATAGCAACACCGATATCACCAAGGTACGCCGTCGGTGTACATCCACCCTCACTGTTCGAAAACGCACACTGATCCAAAGGATCCAACGGATCTTCACTCTTCGGAGAGGAGATCTAGTCAAGTCCGAAATCCGGACGACGCGGTTGTCGATTATCGCGTACACGATATCCGCGCATCATCCTCGTCCGCGACGGATTTTCGAAGATGACGAGAGAGGCCAACCAACCGGGGTTGGGTTGTTCGGACGGATCGCGCGCGAGTACTGATCGGTTCGACGAATCCGCGACGCGCGAGAGACACACGGCGCTGGAGGAGGCGCTGCGCTGGACCACTGGATTATTTCGCAAGCTCTCGAGACTCCGGAGACCGGTTCTGGAGGATCTTGATCGGGAAGCGAATCGATCGCGTGTACAGTGCACCACGTAGCAGTTCTCCGCGTAGCGGGATCACATCGTCGATCTATTCGCAATATATCCGTAGATTTGCTCGCGTTATCATTTCTATTCTCTCTCTCTAGCACTTCTTTAATCCTTTTTCTTTTTCTATTAAATCATACTTTGTTTTTCACATCGTCTTTTAATTCCGATTTTTCTTTCCGCACCGACTTCCTCTTTTATTTATTCTCCTTTTTTTTTTCACACTATCCAAATTTCTTTTCGCACCGTCGACTCTTTCCTTTTTCACCTCCTCGGAAGATCTTTGGCAACTCTCACCCCCTTATAACAACTTTTCTTCTATTGTAATATTATTTTTAGATTCTCATTTTTTTATTATTGTAAATCATGCTATGTTTGCTCCAAAATAATAAAGCAATATCACCTCTTTTCTCTTGAGTATTGCAGTTCTTTCCGCAGATTTTTTTTTTTTTTTTTTTTTTTTTTTTTTCATTCGACTTTTCCACTCCGTCTGCTGTAGTTTATGCGTTGCAGCGCATAAAAAAATAAAATTCTTTCGTTATCTCTTCACGATCTTAGAATTTAAGAAAGGAAAGCATTTCCAATTGAATATCCAGAAGCGAGACGAGATGACAGATTATCTAGTCTGCGTGGCTTTTAATTATAAACGCGAATCGAAATCGAAGTATAAGCTTGTTGAAAACTCGAGTGATACGGTAGGGTGAACGCATGAAAACGAAAGGGTAAAGCTTACAATTAGATTGATTTTGAATGTGGGTAAATTTGCAACATCGTTCGGAGCCAAGTGCGCACTCGACGACAGTTCATTATAAACAAAAGTGGATGCGATTGTTGTTTCCTTTTTTTTTTTTTTTTTTCATTCGACTTTTCCACTCGTCTGCTGTAGTTTATGCGTTGCAGCGCATAAAAAAATAACATCCTTTCCTTATCTCTTCACGATCTTAGAATTTAAGAAAGGAAAGCATTTCTAATTGAATATCCAGAAGCGAGACGAGATGACTGATAAATAAATATTAATAGTTAAATCGAGAATTTTCAGAAATTTTATGCATTTTTACAGTTATATCAAGTAAACTATTAGATTAAGGAACAAGGGTCTTAAGGGTAATTGTAGGTATAATATTCTCGATGCATTTCCTGTTTGCGAACAGACTTCGTAGACTACAACAGTTATTTGAATTCTGTAGATGGGTACGAATATTCGGTATGCGGGCAAAACGTCTTAGATTCAATTTTTCGCAAATGGATTCTTCGTGGTGGAGTGTAGAGAGAATCTTTCTATATAATATGGCATGAAAATTTGATGCGAAAGAAATTGGATTTAAGCTGTAGTGCTGTGCCAAACACATCCTGTGTATACGATATATTGCCCAAGGGAAAGCGCAATGTGTTTGCTACTCCGATGGTAAACGATATTAACAAACGATGGAACTCGGTCCAATTTTTTACGTCTCGATGATTTGTGAATTACAGTCAAGTCGTGCGAATCAATTTGTGTACGGTACGTGTACAGAGAGAAAAAGAGAAAGAAAGATAGACAGAGACAGAACAGAAAGGCACTTCTATAAATGATAGAGAACGGAGATAGAGAAATTTGTACCAATTTTTTTCCCCAAACTACAACAATTCTCAATATGCGTTGCTAATGGATTAGTGAAGGCTTGGGTCGTGCTCGCATCCAAGTACGCTTCAATTTGCGAAACTCTACAGTTAATGGACTCGCGCCATATCGAGCTATTAAATTCCGTCACATAGACGCGAAAACGATATACAGTATGAGAGAGAAAGAGAGAGAGAGAGAGAGAGAGAGATTTTGTTTACTGCACAGATTAGCGTAGGTGTAGTAACCGGACTTTATTCTCTCGCACTCGGTGCATATCATACACCAGAGCGTTGCGCTGCACCCGTATTATCATCGCTTCGTGTCGTCCACGCACACTTATGTCGTCGACGCACTCGTCCGATGACATTATTATCGAAAAGCGTTTTACCACGGGGAAGCACGTTCGCTCGCTTTTCGCGGATAAATGTTACGTGTGGCAGCTACGCTACCTGTGAGACCAAGGGAAAGCGCAGCACGGGAGAGCTCTCTACTCCGCCGTTAAGCTATAATAATAAGCGTTGCACATGCATGCCGTAGAGAGACAGAGAAAGAGAAAGAGTGAGAGATACATAAATACAGCGAACTCGAGAGATACATACGCCGGCGAGATGCCCAGGAGGAAACAATGCGTCCCGCTGTGCACGTCAATGAGAACCGCGGAATCTCGTTAGCGCTCTAAATTCTCCTTTTTTGAGGCCACGATGCATTTCCAGGTTCAAGACACATGATATATTTGCATAAGGCTCTTACGCCGGGTGACTATAATATCGCCCGTAATGTCTTCACTATTCAAATATATTACGTCGGGTATACAGAGAAAATGTCTCTTGATATAATATCAAGACGAGTTTCTTCGCTATAATGCCATCGTTTAATTTTTTTTTTTTTTTTTCGATATAAAAATAAAAATGCCACGCTTTATTATCTCGTTAGATCGATTACAAAAAGAAAATAAAAACATGTACCTTCTTCGCTTTCGCGGCGCGCTTTTGATTTAGTAATATCACGACGATTCATGTTGCACGCTTCAGTGCCAATTCCCAAATCGGATCGGAATTTGAACGTGGCGGAATGGGAAACGTGACGGTCTCTCCACGACGAAAATACGAGCTAATGCTACTTAGAAATTTAGTAATGAATCGATACGCACGATCGAGCCATGAACCGAAGATGGATTACGCGCGTGAGGGATCGTGGCGTAGGATAATGGAGAAGCTGGTCCGTATAAAGTCACGGCAAATATTGTACCAAGAGAACTATGCCCGTATAAGAGCGAGGTTAATTGGTTTCGACGTTAACGCCGGAATCTTTCGGTACACGGGAAATTAACATACTCTACGTTAACGAGCGCAACAAACGAGCGCACGATCGTCGGCATACAAAGTGTCGAGATTCCTGAAGACATTTTTAGAATTTTCTTCTGTCTGGTATGACGCGTATTTTCCGATTCTGCCTTTGTTTAATCCAACAATCATCATACATAACTCGCCGCGGAATTACGCCGCCGGCGCGTTCTTGCTACATTTATATTGCTCTTCCGTCTTTCAGTTGCGTCGCTTCTTTTCATATTTTGAATACGCGTCTATTTCGCCCTACGGCGGTTTCATAGGGTGCGCGGATATTAAATTATATTATATGAAACTAACAGAGAGATCCGAAACAGAAGAGAAAACTCCATGTGCTCTATTTTCTATGAGGTAGAATCCTCTCTCTCTATCTTTTTTTTTACATACATTATGAAGATTTAATTAATCGTTTGAACTTTAGCGTGATCAATATCATCATCGATTGTCACTCTTGATTAAAAAATCACTTACTGCGCAATAATTGATCGCAATTGCTTTTCACTGTTCTTCTGGTATAATTTTGA